TCTGAGTTCACTGGACCTCTGTTTGGCTCAAATCTGTTGCTGTTTTTTTTCTACTGGTTATTATTGGGTTTTTCCTGCTGGGTTTGTTTGGGATTCAAAAATCTGACTGCTGTGTTGCTTGCTGCTGAGTGCTTCCTTTCTGTTACTGCTATTGTTATGTGTGTGTGCTACTGCTGCACTGATCATTCCTCTGCTTCTTTTGCTTTCCCAAATACCAGGTACATCACTGATACACTGATCAATATAGGCTGAAATTTGAAGCATGAATACAAAGAAATGAAGAAGTTGAAGTTATTTTGGAATTCACTTTAGAAATATACTGAACATTAGTTGTATGTATGATGGTTCGCTTTCTCTAATAGAACTATATAGTCAACTGTGATGTAACTGAACCTTTACACATATCATTTAGCTGAAAAACTCTACGAGTTGCTTATAATTAAAAAGGACTAATGTTGTAGTAGCTATGTTCTATTAGTTCATTATTATTTGTCAAGAAGCATGTTAGGTAATCAATAGTTACTTCCTTAAACAAATATTTTTTTAGTTGGTAGGAATATGGCTTGATTAAGACAAGCAGCACATTATATTTCAGTTCCCCCCCTTAAACGTCAAACATATACCAAATAAGTTAAACATGCCCAAATGGAATAAGGAAGGCCCAGGCCGAGTTTCACGTTATGCACATTGGGCCTGGGCCCATAATATCTAAGCAACAGCCCATATACGTGTTCATGTTTCAGATTTTGCAAATCATATTCGGAACCCGACTATAGCTAACTTGTAAGCATGTAAATAAAGTTGGACCGTTCTTCTTCTTTCATTATTAGAGACAAACTCAATAGAAAACATAACCACTATAGGACGCCCTTTTAAATAAAATAAGACGAGCCTCGCCAAATAAAACACATAGATTGTGGGGCCCTCACAAGATGTATGTGTTGATTACTTAGAACTCGGGATAGGTCGCTTAGCGAACTCCACGGCCTTACCCAAAGATAATAACACGTTAGACTCTTTAGGCACAATTTAATTAATCTTACCTTCTTAAAACTCGGGTGCACATTTATGTGACCCAAATCCAAATCTCAACGAAGTCGAAATGTGTCTCTAATCTCGGGCACATTGATTGTGACGTGGCTCGAGATGCGTTTTCACAACGTTGCAAATTACCCCAATGATAATAATAATAATAATAATAATAATAATAATAAATAACGAATGAGACGAGCCTCGACAAACAAGAATACCCAAAGTGCGGGGCCCTCAACGGATAATTATTTCGAGTACTTAGATTCTGGGACGAGCCGTTTAGCAAATTTCACGGCCCCACCCAAAATAATGATACACTAGTCGCTTTAGGCGCGTATTTAATAATGTTATCTTCTTAAACTCGGGTGCACATTTATGTGACCCAAATCCAAATCTCAACAGAGTTGAAATGTGTCAACAACCGCGGGTGCATTGATGTGACGTGGTTCGAGACGTGTTTCCACGATGTTGCAATTCTTGATAAAAAAATAGTAATGATAAAAGCGTTTGAAAGTTAAAACTTGCACATGAGCTCATAATTGTATAAAATCAGATAAACAAGCCGAATATGACAGTTGAGCGACCGTGCTAGAACCACGGAACTCGGGTATGCCTAACACCTTCTCCCGGGTTAACAGNCCCTAATTAAGCGAGCTTTATCAGGGAAATACATGCCCTTTGTCAGAATAGCTGGTCTAGACTCATCCCACATCACTGACCGAAATTTATCATCATCCCTTGTGAGGGCATCCACGTTCGGCATGCTTGGCAAATTATCAAGGTAGGGAATATTCCGCTCATGAAATGGCACGTGGGACTCGTACACTCTTGGTCTAGCGGGAGGTGGAGGAACATGCTCCCTCGTCAGCTCAGGTTCAACATTCACTTCCTCCTCATCATCACCCTCATCATGGAAGGGTGTGTCATCCCCAGACTCATCCGTATTGTTGTTATAATCACTATTATCTTCCTGACTCTGTGCATCTGCCAAATCACGAGTAAATACGTCGTCTATGGGCAACTGTGTGAGGTTAGGAGCTTCAAGAATCTCGTTTTCACTGCACAAAAATAACAAAATGATAATATACCCAACTAGATAAATACTCTAGATATAGCTATATCACTTTACTTACAAGTTGTACTGTCTTGACGTTTCGTGATGGATATTTGCTTGTTGGTGATGACTCCCAGATGGACCACCGTGGTCCAATACTCCAGAAATACACATATTCCAACTAGGGGCGGGGTCATAACTTGTAAAATTCGTATCCGGACGGTACCCCCTATGAAAAATATGAGTGTTAATACAAATCCAATTAAAACATAAAATAAACATCGCTAAAGCACCCACGGAATTGAAGTTTACCAGTCGTCTTGTTGATTATATAAAGTCGAAAAATTATTTTGCAGCTGCTCATTCGCTGGTGGTGACAAGTTTAAATCAAGGCAAGCTCTTTCATCAGCAATTTATCCGGCAAAAACTGCTCCAGAATAACCACCCGATGACTGGGGGTTATCCCTACTATGCATGCCCTCATTATTGGGAACGTCTTCCACCTTGACGTACATTTCCAATAATTTTATTACAATAAATTCCCTGTATTCATCCGGAATCCGCAAAAAAGAGTTTCATCATCCTCGATGTTAAACTCAGAATAATAAGCAAACCCCTACAGAGTCACTGAATACGGAAATCTACCGGTTATTTTAAGGTTAACTGAACGCCACCTCTCATTCATTTTTTTACGTAACAACGATACCAATTTATCGTACTCCATAGTAAGCGGCAATTTAATATGACATTGTGGAGGTGAGCTATACTTCACAGAGTTATTCTCCAACACAACCTCACCCCCCAATATAGTGAAACCCTTATTTTTGCCACTTCAGACATTGTAAAAAAATGATTGATAAGAAGAAGAAGAGAAGTATGAACGTAAGTTTGAAGATTGAATGAATTTTCATAAAATTGAAACGCCTTTAAATAAGGCAAGTCCGAATGTAAAACACAGTACAATACTACGTTTTATGTATTGAATTATTGTTATGTCAGTTCATTATTGGTGGGACAAAAATCAGAGTAAAATGCAGTATAATACTGCGAACAACTTTATAAAATGCAGTATTATACTGCGAATTACAAAAAAAAATGATGTAAAACGCAGTACGGTACTGCGAATTACAAAACAAAATAAAAAATAAAGGAAAACGCAGTATGGTACTGCGTTTTACTTTAACAGACTAATTTCCGTTAACGTAGTTCGCAGTATATTACTGCGTTTTACTCATTTATGTAACTTTTTTTTAAGCAGTATAAAAGTGATTTTTGTCCAAAAAAATATCAAAAGCGTTTTGGACTCTTGCTGTGGGTTCATGAGTAGTAAACGTGTACATTTGGTCGGTTCGCTCTATTTTGAATTAATTCGGTTTGGTTCGGTTTGGTTCAATCTATTTTGAATTAATTCGGTTTGCTTTACAAGATTTTTTAGTACATAAATAAATGTATGATACCCAAACTAAAAATGTTTGGTCCTTTCAAGGAAAAAATATTAGTAATTAGATAAAAAAAAGAAAAATGATTAAAGATATAGGAAAAAAATTGAGATCTAGAACAAGAAAACATAAGCAATATACTTTTGTAATATAAATAACTAATAAAATAAGATTGAACAGAGAGAAAAAATACAAAGATGGAAATAAAAGAAATTAAGAAAAACAATCTAGAAAGAGGGAAAACAGAAAAGTAAAATTGGCTTTGCATTATGTGTGAGCTGCTCTTGGTCGATTCGCTCTATTTTGAATTAATTCAGTTCGATTCGTTCTATTTTGAATTAATTCGGTTAGCTTTACAAAAAATTTTAGTACATAAATAAATACATGATACCCAAACTAAAAATATTTGGTTCTTTCAAGGAAAAAATATTAGTAATTAGATAAAAAAAATGATTAAGGATATAGGAAAAAAAATTGAGATCTAGAACAAGAAAACATAAGCAATATACTTTTGTAATATAAACAACTAATAAAATAAGATTGAACAGAGAGAAAAAATACAAAGATGGAAATAAAAGAAATTAAGAGCTTGTTTGGAAAGCCACCTTGGAAATGGATTTGGGTGTAATTACACAGTTTGGCATGTTTGTTTGGTCAAGTAATTACTTGGTCAACCTGAAATTGGATGTAATTGGAGGGGTGTAATTACACTCTCCAATTCTCAAGGGGGATGTGAGAATTGATGGTAATTACACTGTATAATTACAATGTTACCTTTTAGTTTCTTTCCTTTTTATTTTTATTTTAATTTATTTTCTTTATAACTTTTTATTTCTATTATTTTAATTTTTTAGTTTTATTTTTATTTTTTAATTTGTTTTGAAATTTTAAAATATATTTTTTCTTCGTACATTATTTATCTTTTATTTCTATATCTTTACTTCTCGTGATTCCATGTAATTGCTTACTATATTTTACTTTTTATTTATTTTATTATTGTATTTTTTTAAATTATACCTCCTAATATTAGAAATAATGAGTCATTAGTAAACTTGGCATATAATGAGTGATGCAATTAAAGTGAAATTTCATTGTTGAATGTGGTTATAAACTTATCATGTTTCCTAATTATTAAGTTGCACTGGAACTTACTATTATTATACTGAAATTTGACATATGTTAAACCATTTTTTTTTT